CACTCTAGTTCACCCATCTTATTATTTTGACTTCTAGACTTTGTACTTCACTCCTCCATCCACTGCCCCCATGTGCTCCCTGGCTTCCCTCTCCCCCCAATCCGTCCGTACCATCCTGCTTCACATCTGCAGATGTGCGCTGCTGCAGGGCCTCAGAAGCTCGGCAGGCGGCTTTCATGATGGCCAGTTTCCCCCGTGGCCGGCCTGGAATGAAGACTTCCACCTCCACCTGCACCTCCTCCAGCTCCAGCGCCTGGCCCTGCTTCCTACCCCGCTTGTCCCGTTTACGCGGCTGTCTAGGGAAGGCACCCTGGAGCATGTTCTCCATCAGCTTCCGGGCCTCTGTCTCCTCTTCCTTCTTGGGCTGCACGATGACTCCCACCAGGGCAGCTGGGGCTCTGCGGCTAAACTTCTTCACTTCCTTCAAGATCTTCTGGATCTCGGCCTGCTTGCCCCGCAGGGAGGAAGCTCGGCACAGGAAGAAGATGAGTTGGGATTGACTGTTGCTAGCACCAGGCTTGGCCCCTGGCTGTGTCTGGGTCACAGCCATTGCTGGACTCATCCCTGGTTTGCAAGCATCCGGGAACAATTCCTGGACAAAAGCCGCCATCAGAGCCCGAGTGTCTTTTCCCTCCTGAGACTCTCCAACCAGCAGCACCTCTGGCTTCCCCCCAACCTTCTCTATCAGAACCTGGAAATCCTTTAGGATCTGCTCGCCAGTGGCAGCAGCAGGGGGTTTCTCTGACACCTGCCCCGCACTGTCCATGTCCTGTTAACATGAACTCTCCTGCCCTCTGCTCGCCTAATACTGAAGGAATCACAAATTACACTTTCTTGCTATGTCACAATGCACCACCTTGCCTCACCTCACCCTGGGGCACAGCCCCCCTCCATGGCCTAGAGCTGGGACACAGCCCTTTATATTGTAAGGGATTATACATATATTCAGTGGATGGTTCAGCGCTCAGCTGTAATACAAATACACCAACAACTGGCAAGCATATGTACCACAAAGCATATATGGTTAAAAAGCCACTGCCAACTAGACAGAAGAAGGCCCTGATTCACAGCTATGCTGTCAACAAAGGAGTCTAAATTCCTCTGGGGCCAACATGCTTTTCCTACCAGTTGTGACACCCCTTTAAGCTGTGTGCAAATTAACTACAGCCAAATCTGGGATGTCTGACTTACCCCAGTCGCAGTAAGAATGAGAGTTGGTCACAATAGTGGTAAACCCCAATATAAAAGGTCTTGTGGGAAAATTAGAAATAAAACTCAATAAAATTAGGGGGCTGCAAAGAGACATTTCAGTTTCACTGTGAATTTCGGGCACAGAACTACATAATAATTTGGAATAATATATATATTTGGAGTCTGGAAAATCAAGGCTTGCCCCTAGCCTAGCAATCAAGCTTTTGACAGTATTCCTATGACCTCGCTCCAACCTTACTAGCTGAGTGACGTCTATTGTCACAATCTCAGACTCGCCCTCACTATCTTGAAATCAAACCAAACACTGCCTGAAAGACCATGAACAAAGAGTGATGATAAAAGTGACAGTATTCAGTTAGGAGTTGGGGTTTATGGTGGTGCCAGAGGCTTGGGTGTTTAACTGCTTCATTAATGACATGGGGAAAGGGGCAGAGCATAATACATGGGGAGCTGGTGAGGC